CTACGCAAAAAAAAAAAAAAAAAAAAAAATTGCCAGAGGCAGAAATCTGAATCTGATCCTCTGTAGATCTCAGACTGGCCAGTGCCACCCTTCCAGCCTGGCATCCTGGCCTCCATTCTCACCTTCTCTAGCTGACATCACACGTTGCAGCCAGACCATTGTCCCCAAGGCACAGCCCTCCTCAGGCCTGGCTCCCCTCCAAAAGCACTACTAACTCCCAAGGACAACAACATCAGAAGGAATCAAGGCCAAGCTCCAAGGCCCAGACTTCAAGGCATTCTGCCATTTGGCCTCAACTTTCCTCCCTGACCTGACCTTCCATTGCTCCTCCCACGTGCCCCCCCACCTCTGGCAACTGGATTACACTAGTCTCTGTTAGACACAAGACCTCCTGAGTGGATTGCCTGAGCCCGCGGGTTCGAGTCCCGCCTGGGCAACTTGGCGAGACCTCATCTCTACAATAAATCAAAAAAAAAAATAGCCGGGCATGGTAGCATGCGCCTGTAGTTCCAGCTACTTGGAAGGCTGAGGCGGAAGGATTGCCAGAGCCCAGCAGGTTGAGGCTGCAGTGGCCAGGAGCATGCCACTGCACTCCAGTCTGGGTGACAGAGTGAGACTCCAACTCAAAAAAATAAAATAAAATAAAATAAAATAAAAAAGCCAGGTGTGGTAGCGCAGGAGGGATCGCTGGAGCCCAGCAGGTTGATGCTGGGGTGGCCATGAGCACACCACTGCACTCCAGCCTGGGCAACAGAGTAGGACTCAAGTTCTCCAATTCAAAAAAAAATCAATTCACCCCTTTCCAGAAACATCTAAAGCAATACTCCTCTCTGTGTTCTTTAATATTTGGGGACCTTTCTTATGTGAGTCTATTCTATGCTCAAACTGTACTGGACACCAGTTAAGTGCAGACACTAAATCTGTGGTCTAGGCCCTTCCACAGTGCCTGAGACGCATGGAGCTTGCCTGCAGCTTTCACTTGTGCTCAGGGATCCCCAGGGACAGGATGGGAGTGAGGAGGCTGTGGGGGGCCAATGAGCAGGAGCCAACTGCTGGCTCCTTTGTGTGCCCAGTGACGGTAAGGGTCAGTGCATCTGTATGAGGACGGCTCACCTGGCCAAAGGTAGCTCGGGCATGCTCGAACCCGCCAACCTGCAGCCGCTTCTTGAAGAGGTCCAAGGGATATGTCAAGGTCTTGCTGATGACTCCAGCTCCACTGCCACAAAGCAGGTTTTTGAGGTTCCCTGAGCCAGAGGAGGAGGGTTGAGGGGAAAGAGAAGAGAAATGCCATCTGTAGCGGACACTGAAAGGTCGTCAGGGTAATCCCCCACCACAAACCAAGCCCACAGGCCTTTGATCTCAGAGGGGACTTCCACTTAGAAGCAAGAAAGCCAGGCACAGCCACTTCTGGCAAGAATGGTCACAGGCTTCCAGGCTACGGACTGGCTGGGCTGGTAGCAGCAGGGTGTGAGCCCTTACGAGCAATCCCCAGCTGCAGCTCTACAAGTGACTCAGTTCAGGGCTGGAGGGAGACAGGATGCCCCACCCCTCCCTAGCCTTCCCCCAAAACCAACCAAAAACCCACAACCAAAAAACAGTCAGCTTGCAACTTGGACTTCTGACAAAAATGAAAACCATGACCCACTGCTGGAAGAACATTTCAGTGATGCCAGTGATGGGTGTGGCAAGAGCTGGAAGAAATAAAGTTGCCTCTAAGTTTTGCAGTTGTTTGTTTTGTTAGCCACATGACAGAACTAGGTACAGAGCACAGTGGCGTCTTAGCTTAGACAGGAAAACGTTATTTCCTTCATGATTCAGAAAGAGGTATTGGGACGTGGGAGGGTTCCCTTTTGTGTGAGGGCTGTCTCACCGTTTTTCTTTCCTTCAGCTGGCATGGCCCACTCATACATGTGCTTCAAGGAGCTGTAACAAGAGAACTGGAGCCCGGCGTAGGGGAAGATGGCGACTAAGGTGGGAGCCAAGCCCTTGTAGAAAACGAAGGGGCCCTCAGTCCGGTACATGGTCACCACGGCATCCCGCAGGGTTTTATAGACCTGGACATGCACACGTGAACTTGAGTGAGCTTGGTGAGTGTTTCAGCCCCAGAACACAGTCCATCATATCTATTTCTCCTCATCTAAAAACCAGCTACCAGTTGGACGTGGTGGTTCACGCCTGTCATCCCAACACTTTGGGAGGCGAGAGGATTGCCTGAGCCCACGGGCTCGAGACTAGCCTGAGCAACTTGGCGAAGCCTCGTCTCTACAATAAATCAAAAAATTAGCTGGGCGTGGTGGCACATGCCGGTAGTTCCAGCTACATTTCCAAGGGTGAAGTGGAAGGATCACCTGAGCCCAGCAGGTCGAGGCTGCAGTGGCCGTGAGTGTGCCACTGCACTCCAGTCTGGGCAACAGAGTGAGATTCCAACTCAAAAATAAAAATAAAATAACCAGCTATGGAGAGCATGCTTCTGCCGAGGGGACAGTCAAGGAAAATGCTGGACAAAACTTTAAAGGGTAGAGTTTCTAGCAATACCCCTTCTACAAATTTACACAACATCCTATTCACATATATGCACAGAAGCACAGAAGTATGTGTCAAAAGAGTTGCTGTAGCATCCTGTGAAACAGCAAAAGATGCGATATCCACCTATGGGGGATGGTCATATGAATTACGGAACACAAAAACAGCACAGTTGTTAAAACAGGATGGTGCAATCTATATGACTGATACGGAATAATCCCCCAAATGACAGGTCACAGTGGCTCATGCCTGTAATCCCAACACTTTGAGGAAGTGTTGAGATGGGAGGATCATCTGAGGTCAGGAGTTTGAGACAGCCTGGGCAACATAGAGAGACTCTGTCTCTCAAAGAATATAAAATATTGGCCAGGCTCAGTGGCTCAGCCTGTAATCCCAGCACTTTGGGAGGCCAAGGCGAGTGGATTGCCTGAGCCTGTGGGTTCGAGACCCACCCAGGCAACTTGGCTAGACCTCACTGCTACAAGAAATCAAAAAAATTAGCCAGGCATGGTAGTGCACGCCTGTAGTTCAGGCTACTTGGAAGGCTGAGGTGGAAGGATCGCTAGAGCCTAGCAGATTTAGGCTGCGGTGGCTGGGAACGTGCCACTGCACTCCAGTCTGGGCAATAGAGTGAGACTCCAACTCCAAAAAATAAATAAATACAAAATATGGCCGGGCACAGTGGCTCACACCTATAATCCCAGCACTTTGGGAGGCCGAGTGAGAGGACTGCCTGAGCTCCCAAGTTTGAAACCAGCCTGGACAACTTGGTGAGACCTCATCTCTATGATCAATCAATTAGCCGGGCATGGTAGTGTGCCTATAGTTCTTGCTACTTGGAAGGCTGAGATGGGAGGATCGCCTGAGCCCAGCAGGTCGAGGCTGCGGTGGCCGTGAGCGTGCCATTGCATTCCAGCCTGGGCGACAGAGTCAGACTCCAACTCACACACATACAAAAATACAAAATAAATTACCTGGGAATGGTGGTGTGTGCCTATAGTCCCAGCCACTCAGGAGGTTGAGGAGGGAAAAATGCCTAAGCTCAGGCAGGAGTTCGAGGCTGCAGTGAGCTATGATCATGCCACTGCACTCCAGCCTGGGCAACAGAGTGAGATTCTGTCTCAAAATAATAATAATAATCCCTTAAATAGATAAATTAACACCACAAGGTGCAGAAGAGTGGATACAGTGTTTGTGGAGGAAACAAGCTGTATGCAGAGATGATGTCTGGAGGATACAAACAAGGAACTGCTGGCTCAGCCTGTAATCCCAGCACTTTGGGAGGCTGAGGTGAGTGGATTGCCTGAGCCCGCAGGTTCGAGACCCACCTGGGCAACTTGGCGAGACCTCATCTCTACAATAAATAAAAAAATCAGCCGGGCGTGGTAGCGCGCGCCTGTAATTCTGGCTTCTTGGAAGGCTGAGGCGGAAGGATTGCCAGAGCCCAGCAGGTTGAGGCTGCGGTGGCTGGGAGCGGCCACTGCACTCCAGTCTGGGTGACAGAGTGAGACTCCAACTCAAAAAACAAACAAACAAACAAGGAACTGCGATTGCCTCCATGGAGGGAAAGTGGAGGAGAGAGCTGGGAGGAAGGGCAGTTCTAGGGACCAGAGGAAGGAGGAGATTTACTACGTGCCATATTACACTGCTTGGAGTACAGTAGTCTTTCTTGAACTGCTAACAGGCAGGATCTGTGTAGGAAGACTGCAGGACAGGACATTGGTTTTTCTCAGTACCCTTAGACATTTTCTTTGAAGGGACCCGCGGGGCTCTGCCCAACTGGGACAGGTGTGAGGCACCTTGCTGCCTGTGGATGCCTGAGCGAAAGTCTGTCCTTCTCACCACTTGGCTCCCAGAACGCTGGCAGCCAGGATTAAGGATTCCACCCTGGGGACCTCCCCAAGTGCCAGGCCCTAAGGCCACTAGGCAGCAATCCTGCCCAGAACTCCCACTCTGCTCTTTTGCCCCCTCTTCACACCATGCTGGCAGGCAAGGGTCATCGGCCACTCGAAGACAGCCTCATAGAAAAGACCAAAATGTTTAAGGGGGGGGGTGCAGAGATAAGCAATCTGGAAGGAAGAGATGGTACAGATGGTAGAGACAACAGAGGAAAACGAGAAAAAAAGGGAAACCCCCTGTCATACTCATATCCTCTGACCAGAGAGAAGGTATCATCTCCATGATAAAAGAAGATCCATTTTTCAAAAATGTAAGGTTCAGAAAACAAGAAAGAGCTCTTAGCTCTTAGGAGAAAATCCTTGTGGCTTTGAGTTAGGCAAAGATTTATTAGATATGAGAGTACAATCCATGAAAGAGCAAATAGATAAACTGGACTTCATCAAAATTAAAACCATCTGTTCTTCAAAAGACATTGTTAAGGGAATGAAAGACAAGCCACAGACTCAGAAAATATTTGAAAAACAAAAAACCACCACCCAGTACAAAAAAATGGGCCAAAAATTTGAGCAGCTACTTCACCAAAGATACACGCAGAGAAAATAGATAAGCACAGAGAAAAGATGCTCAACATCCTTAATCACAAAAGAAATGTAAATGAAAGCCACAAGAGGCCGGGTGTGGTGGCTCCCGCCTATAATCCCAGCACTTCCCAAATTTCCACAACTGTGCACTAAAAAGAGTAAATTTTACTGTATGAAAACATATTTACTGTATGTAAATAAACATGAACAAAACAAAAAAGAACTCCTGGGAACTAAAATGCATTGCAAAATTATTAAAATTCAATAGAGAAGCCAAATGATAAACGGAAGAAAAGCTTCCAGGAACCAGAACAAAAAGACAAAAAGAGCTCAACAATGGTAGAGAAAAAAATCAATCGATCACAGGATCAGTGAAGGTTTCCCAACTAACGTGAATTCCAGAAAGAAAAGAAAATACAGAGGGCAGGCAATTATGAGTGAGTAATTCATGAAGGTTTTCCAGACATGAAGAACGTGAGTGTCCTGACTAAAGGGATCCAGGAAATGCCCGTCACAATGAATGAAAAAGACCTGCACGGATGCACATCATTGTTAAATTTCTAGAATCCCAGAGATCAAGAAAAGATCCTGAAATCTCTCAAAGTCAGGGGATGGGGGAGGAATGTCAAATGAAGGATCAGTAATCAGGATGGTTCTGGACTTCTCTTCAGCAACACAGAGAGTGACCCAGAATTCTACACCCAAATCATCAAATAAGGGTCTGGGCTCGGTGGCTCAGCCTGTAATCCCGTGCTTTGGGAGGCCAAGGTGAGTGGATTGCCTGAGCCCACGGGTTTGAGACCTGCCTGGGCAACTTGGTGAGACCTCATCTCTACAATAAATCAAAAATCAGCCGGGCGTGGTAGTGCACGCCTGTAATTCCGGCT